GTATATATGTGGATTGAGACAGACAAATTGCCTGTAATATAAAAACTGCATTATAATATTATTAAGTTATATTGAGCTCGTATAAAATATTATCATGATATATAACGTTGCTGATCATACTAAGCATAGCAACATGAATAAAAAGTATGTTTCACTAGAAAAGTAAACAGAAAAAGATGATAGATGCAAAAGAACAAATACTTATAATATATGATGTAGTATTAGATAGTTTGTTAATTAATTAAATAACAACACCTTAATACAATTACTGAAGATTATATTGCTCAATAAAATTATATAGTATTAATGGTATATTAATAAAATATTCTTGGAACAAAATATTTATGTCTGGAAGTAAATCAATCATCAAGTCAAAGATCAATATGAAGTTGAGATCCTAGTGAATTAGACATAAACTAAAGAAGTCTGCTGTCTAATTCTTTGTTTTTGCAGTGTGAAAGTTTTTCAAAACCTAGATCTTCATAACAAGATTTGCTTACATTTTCACAAAAACTTTCAAAAAAATTACAAGCATTAAGCATAATTTGGATTGAAAACTGAGGATCTAAATTAGTTGATATATTTCCATTATTCTTAAAATAGTTTATATAGTGGTGAACATTTTTAAATTNTTTAAAATAGTTTATATAATGGTGAACATTTTTAAATTTGTCATTTATATGACACAGGGTATCATATATTTTCATATCACTCGATAAATGAGAACTAAATGATGTAAAATTGTCTTTAAAAATTTTTAGAAGTTGTTCGACTATTTCCATTTTATTATCACCAATATTTTTTAGAGAAAAATCATTGTTTTCTAATACAGTGCGAAAATCTGTAACATACATAAAAACTCTCTCTAAATTTGATTTAGAGAAATAAATAAAACTCCATATTGATGATTTATTTAAAGTAACTAAAGCTTCATACAAATCTTCCAGCATTTTTTTTGATTTAACGAATGAGCTAAATAATTGAACCAAACAATTATAGTTATATTTGCTTGTGTCTTTATTGCATATATATAACATAGCAGATAATAATGTACGATAGTTTTTCATTATTTCTGTGAATCTGCATCTTAATAATTGTGATACATGTTCTTTTTTTATTCGAAAATTTATTTTAGTAACTTCCTCATTTATTATTTGATCTACACTGATTTTTTTACCAATATAAACAATACTTATGTGGTCCATTTTATTCCAACCAGATTCCTTACGAATAATATTAAGAGCTTCAATTCCATCATTTTGAACTGTATCTGGATCTATTGGAGGTATGAATCTAAATTAAAAAATAATTATATGCTAATTAATAAATTAATTGTATATTGATAATTAATTAATATATAAAAATAAAGATATTTAAATATTGTTGATGAACATTATTTTAGTTTGAGTTAAATAGTCAAATATGATTAAAATATTGAATTTGTATTATAAATTATCATTTCTTTGTTAAATTATTAAGAAATACATAAAAAAATTAAATTCGGCAAACATTTTCAAATTTTAATAATATATTAATATTTTAATAGTATTTCTTTCATAAATTTCTACGAGTTTTTTTATACTATTGCATAAATAAAATAGATAATTTAGCATCTAACATATATTACGTACAAAAAAAAAAGTTTTTTTATATTCATACCAAAATTAAAAAAAATATATTATTACAGTGCGCTCACGGCAAATTATAGTTAGCATAGTTACTACAAATACAGATAATATCTGACAATGATTAAAATTATAAGAAATGCTGCGATCCGAATCTTTAGATAGTGTTTAATTTTAAGAAATTGGTTGAATTTTTCAAAAACAACATCCATTCCTTTTTTTTTATTCATATCCTGATTATTAGTTCTTTAATATTATTAATGTACAATATATTATTTAAATAAATACTAATTATATTAATTAAAAATAATATGAAATTGATATTCAATAACGCAACAATAACAGAGAAATAATAAAAAATTGAAAATAGTATATTTCGTTATTTCTATGGCAAATATATAAAAAAATTAAAATGCAAATATGTACTGCTATGTAAGGCACTTCCATTATAATCAAGAATATACTTTTTGCATTGTCTTCAAATCTGCCATAAGACTTTTTCTATCATTTTTGACTTTTATTATTATTACTAATTAGTTTAAATTAGGATTTAAATATAAAAAAAAGTTATTAAAAATAAAAAGAAAATTTTGTAGTCTAATTATTACTGATTATTAATATGATAAAAATAATCATTACAACATATCATATTCAACCAATTTTTGGTCCTCAAAGTTGATTTCCGTGAAAGTTGGTAGTAAAAAAAGTTGAATTTGCTATCTGAACTTTAGGTCAAACTGCAAGTTTGAAAATGACATCATTAAACAGAAAATATTATGATAAATAATAAAATGTTATTGTCAAGATGAATATGCAGTCAGTAAATTTTTAAATTACAATTTACAATTGTAATAGATCACTTAAATAGAATCCATAGGAATATTACCTAAGTACTTTGATGTTTAAAAAGATTCTAAATTGAAATATTGATAAATTAATTAGTTTTAATGATTTACTCTAACTAAATAACAAATTAAAAATTTCTTAAAAAAACCTACTTAATTATGCATATTATGAAATTTATTATAATTGTAACAATCCATTGTTAAAATGAGTTGAAACTAAAAATAATTTTTTTTAAAAAAGATTTATAAATCAACAGTTGACTAAAAAATTAGGAATAGTGTAGACTGGTAGGTAGTAGCACACAAAAATAGAGTTAAAAATTAATAAATTACAAAGTAAAATTATTCAATTTTGTAGTTGAATACTTTAATCATATCAAATTTAATTCAACAATAAATACTTTAAAAATATTAGAAATTAATGACTATAATTGTATAGAGAAAGATGGTTAAGCTACTTTTTATTTGAATAAGGTATTTTTTTTTCAAAATTTGAGGGTAATATCTTCAACTAACTGCGAATTGTAATCATTTGACGTATTGTTGAAAAAAGTATTTAAAGTGAGAGTTGGAAAAATAAATCGCAGTCACAAAAAAAAACCATATAGTACAATTATTATAATATAAACGAGATTTTTTTAGTGATGAGTTTCGTGTTATTCATTGAAGTGATTGAATCTAAACGAAATAAAATTTAAATGAGTTTAAAATTTGTTTCTAACGCAAAAAAAATTCATTGCCATAGGCTGGTTAGAACTTCGTATCTCATGCGTGAAAGACATAAATGTTACTGACACGGAAAACTAAATATCATTTTATCTAGATAAAAATGGGAATTTATGCTATTTCAATTATTTTTCTTGAAATCAAAGAAGCAAAAAATTAAGCTAAGAAAACAACACAAAAAAAAACCCAACACAGGGGGGTCTTGGCACAGTGGTGACGTGGCATAGTTGGATCAAGTATAATGATATCTGACAGTGATTAAAATCACTATAAAAAAAAAACGCTTCAATGCAAATCTTTAGATAGTGTTTAATTTAAAAAAATTGGTGTATTATTCCAAAAGCTACATGATGTGCTAGTTCCTTATTAATATCCTGATTAAGATATAGTATGTCAAATGAAAAAGAGATTATTAAAAAATATTATTTCTCATAAAAAATTGCATTGATCCATATATTTTTTAAAAATATATAGCATTATTAAGTTAAAATTATAAAAAAAAATTATTTTACAAAAATCGTAATTTTTAATTAAATTTGATGTCTATTTTCACCGTGAAGACAAGTCCAGAGGTCAATTTTTTTTTTCAAATTAAAGTATATTACATAAGCTTCAATTTAAGATATATATAAAAGTGTCAGACCTTCCGGAACACTTTCAAAAGTTAAGTTGAAAAAGTTCTACTTTCTATATGCATTTTTTATATATGAAGCACTCATATATATAGGGAAATAGTCTGATTTAAAAAAAAAGTATATCCAATGAAAGATGTATATAAATACTACTTCTCATGAAAAAATTGTATTGATCCATACATTTTTTAAAAAGTTATAGCACTTTAAATTAAAAAATTTTAATTATAAAATCGAAAATTTTCACACAAAAATAGCATTTGATAGCCGTTTTCACCATGAAGACAAGTCCAGAGATCAAATTTTTTTTTTCCATAATAAAGTACATTACATTAGCTTTAACTTAAGATATGTATAAAAGTGTCAGACCTTCCGGGACATTTTTAAAAGTTAAGTTGAAAAAGTTAATTTTTTGTGAAAAAGTTGTCATTTTAAGTCCCCCCCTGTGGGCAGATAAATGGTCAAATTTACAAAAAAAATATACCAAATGATAGGTAAAGACATCAAGCATTTATAAAAAAAAAAGTTATATTCATATGTTAATTTTTGAAAAAGTTACGGCAGTTTTTAGTAAAAAAAATTGAAAGAATATCGAAAATTAGCGATTTTTAAATTTGTAATTTTTTTGGAGGTTTCCCCCATTTACGGGAAACAAGGGAAATTTTTTCAATTTTTAAGGGTAATGTCTTCGACTAGATACGATTTGTGATCTTTTGACGTATCGTTGAAAGAAATCCATTCGGTGAGAGCTGAGAAAAAATGGTAACAGACACAAAAAAAAAATAAATAAAATAAACACATCATAGTAAAACTAATACCTTCTCAGCTTCGCATCGAAGCTAAAACATATTATAGTAAAATTAATACCTTCTCAGCTTTTCATCGAAGTTAAAAAACAATTCAATAAATACAATACCTCTAATATTAATTCACGATCACAATACTTAATTTAGGATGTTGCACTGTCTATTTAAAATGTACTTATTTAGTTTCGATTAACTAACTATATTATAAACCACCATACTTTATTAGTGTTCTATATTCATAAAACAATTAGGATTTATAATTCTAGTTAATATATTTCTTTTTTCAAATATTTATTTATTAAAAATTCTTTTGAAATATTACCCATAATATGTTTAAAAATTAATATTAAATGTAAGAATTCTTACTCTGCTGTTGTAGGGTTGAGAAATTCTTCAAATCCTAAGTTTTTGTACCAAACTTCAATAATTTTGTTGAAGAACTTAGTAATTATTTCATTTCTTTTAGGTATAAATTTATTAGGTAATTCCACAATTTTAATATTTTTTAAATCATTTAAAAGAATAATATCTATGAATGTACTATTATGAATAAAATTGAACATTAATGTTGATACGTCTGCTTGAAATATTATCAAATTTTCAAGTTTCATTTTAGAAATTTCATAAGGTGATTTGTTGAGATCAAATGAGCTGGTTTCCGAACTTATATTTAAGATGTACTGATATATAAAGTCGATTATATCAAATATAGGATGCGCCACGGAGCCTTGAGAAAACAAAAATCTTATATCTATGTAGCTTAAAAACTTCATAGCATTGTGTAAATTTTCAGCCATATTTTTTGAATCTTTTATAATTATTTCAACCATTTGTACACACAGAATAAATTTATTTAATTCATTTTTTGGATGATATTTTTGGCATGCATTGAGGATAAGTTTTATTAAATTAAAGAATTTTTTCAGTATTTGAATGTACTTTAAATTGAGTATATTTATTGTATAACAATATTTTAGATTAAAATTTAACATTTTAGAATTTGGTTGGAAAGCTTCGTCTATATCCATATCATTATTTGAATCTTGTTTTCGATACGATATAATTTGTGAATAAATGTGACTCACCACCCTTTCGATATAATTTTCATACATAGCACGATAAGTTTCGCAATGAACTCTTTTGTCTGGTTGCAACACGAAAACAACAATAAATATTAAAACAAACGAATAAAATTTCATTGTAAAAAAATTTAATATGAAAAATTTCTCGTTTGAAACTTAGGTAGATTTATAATGAACACATGAAAATGTCTTCTTTATTATTTAATATCACTTATTTAATAAAAAATATTTGTAAAGAATATAAATCTTTTTTCTACGTCAGTAAAAATATGTTTAAATAAAATATAGTGCTTTATTATATAATATTTTCAAATAATTTGTATAGGATGTATTGGTTATACTATCACCTATATCGATAGATTTTTTTTTTTGACACCTGTGTTTATAACATCAGTTGCTTACAAAAATATTNCACCTGTGTTTATAACATCAATTGCTTACAAAAATATTTTATACTATATAATATGAAGAGACCTAATAATTACTGTTAAACATTTTATTTTTAAATATATATAAGTTTTTTAAATGTAATTTTTTTTATGTAATGTCAATAAAATTCAATTATCCCATGAATAGTTCTCAATAACAAATCTCGGTCAAAGGTTACTTTTAAAATCGTATTCTAAATATATATACATATTGAAACGTTTCTACGTTTGTACTCTTTTGAGTTTATATTACTCAACTAATAATACGAAATCAGAACACAATTTTGCTCAAATAATTAACTTATTTTTTCTTTTCTTTTAAAATAAACAAATATATCTATACTAAATAATTACCTATCATATCAGTCTTACTTTCAGAAGTAATTAATTTAAGTAAAGAGAGAATTATAACCTTTTGGATCATGGTTGGTTACGCGTTGTTACGAGCATCGTTGCAAAGGATTAAAAGGAATATTATGAAAAGCCAGTAATCTTGATCACGGTTGATAACTCGAAGTTTATGATCATCCTTGAAAATTAATTTAACTTTTTTAGAAAGAATTTTATTATATAAAATTTTGATCACGGTTGGTAACGCATTGTTAGGAGCACCGTTGAAAATTCTATACATATTAAAAAAATAGGAATTTTAGGAAAAAAATAAAGAAACTTACGCCGTGTAGAGGTGTATGCACTAATTTAGTCTAGTCGGCTCTAAATATTGCGATCAATAGATTAGCATAATTAACTTAACAGAGAGAAAGAGAGTAAAAGATAATTAAGGGAGCAGCTTTACTGCCCGCCAGCACTTGGGTAGTATGGATTAATAGTTTACTGCTCATTTTACTTTTAATATTTTGTGATAAATAAATGTGCATATTTATATTTTATTTAAATTGTGAGTTCCCGTTTGGACTGATATGTAACATAAAAAGGTTTAAAAACATTACTATCTATATATTAATTATATGGATAATATATTAATTATTTTTATTAAATTATATAAAAATATATTATATTATATTCTTTTGAATAAAATGTCGTAACTCAAAAAAAGTTATAAGATTATGAAAAGGAAGGGGAAGCTATATAAATATAGAAAATAAGAACTATCCCTTTTCTCGGGGTGTGTTGTTCGAGAGTCGATTGCTATCATAAGTGCTTGTACATTAAATTAGAATGTTCTTACCTTAATCATATAATCTTCATTGATACAATAATTTACTTGTGGATAAAAGGTATAATCAGTTTTTACAAGCACTATTGGTTTAAAAGATATTTTTATAAATTTTAAGAATAGGCGAAAGAGAGCCGGATGATAATCGCGACGTGTTCGTATGTCGGTTGGATCGAAACAGGACGAGAACCTTGTGCCCAGGGATATTCTTAATGCATTCCTCGGGTCCCCTTCCACGGATGTGTATAATTATCGTCCAGCTCTCATTGGGTTTTACATTTTTATGTTTTTTATGATATGTTATTGATTAGGGTTTTTGTAAGTGTTGTAAAGGAGCGGATGTATGTCGCGTAATCGTGGTAGTTGTGTGTTTGGCTGTTTTAGAGGATAGACAGTGTTTATTGTGTTTTATATTTTATGTAAAAATATATTATGTTGTAAAAGAATTTCTGTATGTGTTGAGAAATGAATAAGAAGAAAACGGAAGACTAAATTGTTTATGTGTGGAGGGCCTATTACAACATCCGCCCCAACGTTTTTAGGAGTTGTGTCCTCACAACTTTTAAATAATATGGAGTTATTTTTTTTTTAAATGATAATAATATGTGAATATAGTATAATATAATAGTGATTATTTGATTATAATAATGTGAGTATGTTATAGTAGAATAGTAAGTATAGTAATAATAATGATGAAAATTATAGTAAAAATAATAATAATAATCATGGTGATAATGAATATATATAAAGGAAATATAGTTAATAATTATATAATAATTAGTAATTTGAATAAATATAAATTTTTTGTTTTGTTATCAAGTTTATAAGATAACATATTATAAATGTATAAGTATATAAGTAAGTGTTTATGTCAACGAATAATAATGTGTAATATAGTATTAATAGTGATATAGGCTATTATAACAATATGATATTCTTTAGTACAGTTATTGCTAAAAAGATTATATATAAAACGTAAAAAGCATTTGTGGTGTTGTGTCTTTACAACATGTAATGTAAAATACAATTTCATAAAAAAAAAATTGCAAATTTATATTAATAGTTAAGAATATAAATTAAAAAAAAGATTGTTTTATAAATTTATTAAGGTGGTAATATTTTGTAACATTTATTAATATTTAAAAAAATTTTATATAAATGCAAAAATAACAATATATAATTTTAGGTATACATTTTTTTTTTAATTTGCTAATCTACAATATAATTGAGATGCTATAGAACATATGTTAATAGTACAATGTTTTGATATTATGAAATTATAATATTAATTTTCTATATTATGTAATTCGTAATTGTCGCATATAAATATTGAAATAATTATTTTAACAATATATCTGGAATAAAATATTAAATAGTAGAGCTTTAATTAATTTAATATTATTAATATATAATGAAACATCATAAATGTTTTCTTTTTGTATTGTATCAAGACATTATATTTTATAACAAAATGATTAGTAGTTTTATCAACAATTAAGGCAAAAAAAAAAGTATTATAGTTTATGTGTAATGAATCTGAAGTTGTTTTTGTTAACCATAATGTTCTCTTCATACATAGTAATAGTCAACATAAATAAAAAAAATTAATATTTTCTTCTGAGACTCGTTCTTCTAGAATTTGCCATTTGTAATCTAGATGTATTTCCATTTGATTTTGTAATTGAAAAATGTATAAGTACGATGATTTTAATTTTCAGTCTTCACATTTTTAGTTGGGCTATTTGTAACATCCTTTTAGTGTTATGAATGTTATGATAAAGAAATTTTTGCATATACAATTGGATTTATTTAATTTATATTTTTTCATAGGTACTGATACTATATAAAGAACTTAATGTTTTTGTTCTTACTAATTATCTGAATTTTGAAGTTTTCATTTGACGATTGTTGAATTAATTATTTAATTACTATTACTAGTATGAGTTGCTTATTCTTTATTTATATGATCTTTTGTATTTTACAATGATTTAAAAAAAAATGTGAAACTTTCTTTACAATTTTAGGTTTTCATTTTTACAAAAAAAAAAAAAAATTTGTCATATGAAACTAATCATAAATGTATAATTACTGACTATGCAATAATATGAAATATAAAATATATTTTTAAACATGAAAATGCTACATGTAGGTATGGTATGGCTAAATTTGAATATTGATTATGAATATTAAAAAAATTATGTATAATTGATAAAGAAGTAATATAATGGGTAATATTTATTTAACTTAAACATAGACTAATCATAAATTAATTGTTATGAACACTTTTATTTGTATATTTATATTACAATATGTACATGTAACATATATTAAAAACAATGTTTTTCCTATTTTGACTGATGTATCAACAATTGTTTAAAAATGTTAACCTCCAGAGTCAAAAATAAAATGACATTGTAATAGATATTTAGCACATACTTAATTTGTAAACATACATAGTTTACTTGACTAGCCAATGAGAAGGATTGTGCAATTAAAATATAAAACATTAAGTCTCCCCCCCATAAAACAGGCCTATAAAAGAGCAATTTCTAGCTCATTCGACACCTTATTTTTTCTAAAAATCTGGTAATGAAGAGGCTCCGCACCAGACTGTTTCGCGTTTTTGCTCTCTCTGACTTTATTTTTTATCTAACTCTCTTACAAGTAATGCAATAAAAGCAATAATAACTTAAACTGTTTATTTTATTTATTTTTTTTAATTTAAAATTATTATGAATTAATTTTTTCTATTTGTGTTTTGTGAGTTGTTCCAATTAAGAATTTTTTTTAATTCTTCAATTGGAGTGTCTATTTAATAAGTGCATTTCGAAAATCTACCTTAGCACATATAGCGGTTGAAACTGTTGTAATACAATAGTTTGTGACCTGTCACTAAGGAGATCGTAGAATGTATTTTAAATTTGATTAGATACGCGTTTAATTGTGTTTGAACGGAACGCCCGGTTATAATGTGCGGGTTAGTTAACGTCCAGTTGGGTTATCTAATTATGCCGGAGAAAGAAATAGGGAGTGGACTGTATATAAAAGGATGGTACTTACATTAAATAAAATAATAAGAATTACAAGATAAGGAGTTATATTAAAGTAATCATATATATATATACTGTTATAGAATTGTGGATTGGGGGGGGGAGTCACTTAATACTAATGCAACAATGCGTAAAATAAAACAATTAATAAAAATAAAAATTAGATAATCAATATGATTACAAACTACTTATACGATACTAATGATAATGACTGGTTTGATGTGGATAAAATGCGAATGAAGTTGTTGGCGTGACAATTGTACGAGGCAGAACAGACTTTGGCGCGAATAGTACTTCAAGGTGTACGAATTTAATTCTCAATGCGCGTATCGCAAGGGCGATAAAAATAACGCACAAGGGTGCGACAATCGCAAGGGCGATATAAAGTGTC